AAAAAGCAGATCATAGATCATATATTTTGTATATAGCCTATAGAACAGCTTCGTAAATAGGAAGATTTCAATATATGAGGATTCTGAATGGGATTTTTTTTTGCGAGCCATTAAATGACTTGAGACTCAACTCGGACTCGTGACCAAAGACTCGAGACTTGACTCAGACTCCAGCGACAAAGACTTCAGACTTGACTTGGACTCCAGGTTAAAGACTTCAGACTTGACTCGGACTCCAAGTTAAAGAATTGTGAACATCTCTGCCTGGAGGTGAGGAATAATACACAAATTGTTATATTCACTCAGCATTACTTGATCTAATTCACAAATATCTCAATTACAATTTAGTAGAAATTAATTGTATTCAGTTGTGTTTTAGGCACTAAAACAGTCCAATACTTTATAGTCCATCACATTTTTATATTGAAATAATAACGATTTCTGTGCCACCCCAGACTGGTTGCTGGCCCCTCCCTGGCCACCCCTATAAAAACATCCTGGCTCCACCACTGCCCATAGTATAACAAAAAAGAGTATATATCTCTTCATTGTGTATGGGCCCCCCCTGGACGAGCGAGCATAGGCACGTGCCTAGAATGCCTATGCGTAAATCCGGCCCTGGTTTTATGTTTATGTACAAAAAAATAGTTTAAGTGCTTATTAATTTGTGCATAACTATTTTTTTTTAAACAGTAAAGGAGACATCAGAGTGCTCTTGTGATTCAAGTGAGTTTTCTTCATTGCTTGAAATGTGCTGTCAGTATAGCACATAAATATTGTTTGAAGCTGTTGATAGAATTTAAACATTTGAAAACCTATAATCCATCATTTCGATTACATGACTTAGCATAATGTCCCATCATGGGATTATATTTTAGCATGAGATGTACTTTATTTTATGTTGAACAGAGAATCTCGCTGTTGGAGCTGAAGCTGTCCAGTCTTCCACATACAATCATTTAGGAGCTGCTCAAAATGCTGTTGATGGCAATAGTGAGTCAAATTACATGCTCGGGTCCTGCACTCACACTGCAGGGGACGATCCCTGGTGGAGAGTTGACTTGAAGAAAGTGCACAAGGTAACCAGTGTTAGTATCACTAATCGAGGAGACTGTTGTGAAGAGAGGATAGTTGGTGCTCAGATCCGTAAACAGGGCTGCAACTGTTGGGTTCATCCAGTCTGGAGGTACAAAAACATTTGATTTTAAGCCTGTTAAGGGGAGATTTGTCAACATTTTTCTTCCTGGGCATGGGAAATACCTCACTTTGTGTGAAGTTAAGGTTGCAGGTAAGGGAAAGACTCTGAGATAAAATTTGTTCATGTACTTTGTTTTATGTTTGTGTTTTATGTTTATGTACAAAAAAATAGTTTATGTGCTTATTAATTTGTGCATAACTTTTTTTTTTTTTAAACCGTAAAGGAGACATCAGAGTGCTCTTGTGTTTCAAGTGAGTGTTCTTCATTACTTGCTTCATTGTTGAACAGAGAATCTCGCTGTTGGAGCTGAAGCTGTCCAGTCTTCCACATACAATCATTTAGGAGCTGCTCAAAATGCTGTTGATGGCAATAGTGAGTCAAATTACATGCTCGGGTCCTGCACTCACACTGCAGGGGACGATCCCTGGTGGAGAGTTGACTTGAAGAAAGTGCACAAGGTAACCAGTGTTAGTATCACTAATCGAGGAGACTGTTGTGAAGAGAGGATAGTTGGTGCTCAGATCCGTATCGGCAACAGCCTGGAAAATAATGGCAACAGCAATGATCTGTAAGTGTTGTATCACTCTCTAATACTTACATAAATATTTAATTTGCTACATGCCTTTTTGATTGCTATATGTTGCTCTTTATTTCTCTTTCTCTGTGTGTATTAACAGGGCTGCAACTGTTGGGTTCATCCAGTCTGGAGGCACAAAAACATTTTATTTTAAGCCTGTTAAGGGGAGATTTGTCAACATTTTCCTGCCTGGGCACGGGAAATACCTCACTTTGTGTGAAGTTAAGGTATTTGCAGGTAAGGGAAAGACTCTGAGATAAAATTTGTTCATGTATACTTTGTTTTATGTTTGTGTTTTATGCAGGGCCGGATTTACCTCTTATCGTGACATAGGTAAAACAATTTTTGGGCCCCCTTTCCTTATTAATAGGCCTATATAATATTACCACCACAACAAACAAAAATCAGTATCTGCATGTCTCATCAATGAGTATGCAATGATGGAGAACAAGCTTTTGGGGGTTTTGAGAACCAGAAACAAGCTGACTGAGCAATAAAGCTCAGTGGCGGCTCCAGGATTTTTTTGTTGGGGGTGCTAAGGGGGGGCTTAACAGTTCAGAGGGGGTGCTAAAAAGCTAATTAAATTAAGTGAAGGTAATGAACGCCTATAAGCTTCAGCTATCTAAATAGCATGCAAATTCAGCCACCTTGTGTTTTTTATATACAGCAGCTTCGATAAAGGCACATTTTAAATTTTTTTCTGTGGTATTAAACTTCTCATATGCCACTGTTATTAGTGCCAACTGCCAAATATGACACTTACAAATTAATACAATTTATGAACGCACATAGAAAAGAGAGAAAGTAGGGATTTATTTATTTATTTTTTTTTTTTTTTATTATTATTTTTTTATTTTTTTTACACATATCTATTTAGTCATTTTTTTCTGACCATCAAGTGTCAGTCACTCTCAATGCCATGGTAAATTCTATCCATTTTTCACAATAGATAAAGTGCCGACAATTCATACAACTATTTCCACACAGTGGCATAGCGGACGGGCACGCACCGCGGGGGGCCCCGTGTTAACCTCCCCGTGCTGAGATGCGTCGTATCATGTGTCATGTGTCGACGACAGCCAGAGATATGGTCAAAACAAAAGCATCAAAAATTGGCAATATTAATACGATTTAGCATTTCCAATTAATGTAGGCCTGTTACATTCTTCTTATTATTAGGCCTATTATTATTAGGTTACTTTTATTATTAAATTACATGAAATTATTGCCCCGCATGTCCTCATTGAAAATTTTTTTAATTTTTTTTAACAGGTCTTTTAATTTATACAATGAATTATAGATCTATTATTACAATTATTAACACTGCAGTCATCAATGAAAATCAAGAGCAGCTTTATTTTGAGCACCGATTTTCAAAAACAACCTGTTTAACGCGAAATACGTTTCTTCTCATGTTTTTCACTATAGGGGCCACAAGAGAAATATTAAGGGAATAATTTAAGACAGTTATATACCGTTATCAACATATGCTGGAGTAGTTTCGTCTCTCGTTGTCTCAGAGAATATGCGCCGTTAATGCAGC